CTGATGAGTGGCCTGTCCACTCCCTGCTGTGGTCTCTCCCATCCACCCCCCACCCGACTCCTGCAGGCCTGGTCATGGGCCATCATCTCCTGCCTGCCCTGCCCTCACCCCTGCCTTTCTCTGCATCCTGAAGTCTCCACCCCCCCTACCCCAGAGACCTAAACAGGGCCTCCCTGCTCAGAATCCAACACTTGCTCCCCACTGTTCCCACAATAAAGGCCCAAAGCCTCTGCCTGACATTCGAAGCCCCTTCCCCAGCGGGGCTCCCAGCAACCCCTACTCCCGGTTCCCAGACCCCTCTCCCAGAAGGAGCCATGGCTCCCCAAAAGCTTCCTAATCTTTCAGGACCCTTGGTACAGACTGTTGCCCCCACCTGAGTCAGGTGCCCCCCTCCACAGCTCTTCAGGCCACCCACCTCCCTTGGGGTACAAGCCCAAGTCCTCCCCTAGCCCACCTGCCTTGTCCCCTTCCTGTCTCCCCCTGGATCACTCTGCTCTGGCCACTAGAGCCTTTGCTGTTCTTCCAAGACATCAGTAACAGTGCTGCCCCGGGGCCTTTGCACAGGCTATCCTGTTGCTTGGAGCACATCTTCTCCAGAGAGCCTTTTTATCTGTTTCACTGCTGTATTCAGTGGACCACACCAGAGGTGTTTAATAAATACTTCCTGAATGAATGATTCATCATGGTGCCTAGAATGTTCCCCCATTCCCCCCCCTTCCATCTTTCTATGACTTCCACCTTTTCTTTAAGATTTACCTGAGGCAGGGCGCCTGGGTGGCTCAGTTAAGCCGCTGCCTTTGGCTCACTCAGGCCATGATCGCAGGATCCTGGGATCGAGCCCCACATCGGGCTCTCTGCTCAGCAAGGAGCCTGCTTCCCTCTCTCTCTCTGCCTGCCTCCCTCTCTCTCTCTGCCTGCCTCTCTGCCTACTTGTGATCTCTGTCTGTCAAATAAATAAATAAAATCTTAAAAAAAAAAAAAGACTTACCTGAGGCAGTTGGGCTCATTTTCTTCTTCCTGATTTCCTTTATCCGTAGGGCAGCCCGAAACATCTTTCCAGTGCTCCAACCTGCCCTTGCTAACCCTGCTTCAGAACCTCCTGTGGCTTCCTAATGTCTTCAGGGCTCTTGACAGCCTGACCCTTGCCAAACTGTCCGATCTTGTCTCTCCCCTGACACCCCGCTCTTGCCACATTCTACCCTCCAGCTTCGCTGTGCACGTGCACTCTCTGTTCCCCCTGCCCCAGAATACCTCCCCAGTACCTTCACTGGCCTGACGCTCAGCACAGACATTACTTCCTCCTAGAAGCTTCCCAGCACCACCCACAACCCGGGCCCAGTTCTCCTCTGGACCCCCCGTGCACCTGCAGCCCTGATCACTGTCCTGATCCCTTCTGTTTCATGCACTTGACCTCCAGAGCCAACTCATTCATCAGACACAGGAGACCCGGGGTCCATGATACTTTTAAGGGCCCAGGGAAGGGGTTTGTTTTTAATTTAGCTTAAAATCAGAAGAAAATAAGGACTAGAATACCAGTGCAGTCATAAAAGATCATTTCATACATGAATTTTTTCACTGGGGGAGGGACCCACGGGGGGGAGGGAATCATGGACAGGATTTGGCCTCAGGCAAAAGGGCCTTAGGGCTGTGAATTTTTTTTTTTTTAAGATTTTACTGATTTATTTTAGAGCAGGTGAGTGAGAGAACGCAAGTGGGGGAGGGGAGTGGCGGAGGAAGAGAGAGAAGCAGATTCCCCACTGAGCAGGGAGCCCCATATGGGGCTCCATCCCAGGACTCCAGGTTCATGACCCAAGCTGAAGGCAACAGCTTAACTGACTGAGCCACCCAGGCACCCCAGGGCTATTAAGGTTTTAACACAGTCCTGCTGGTCCCATACATGTCTCCCCATTGGATTATGAGTGCCTTGAAGGTGGAAGTGGGGGCTGAATCCTCAGGGCTGCCCAGCATGGACCTGGTAGACAGCAGGCACTTAATCATTGTTTGTTGAATGACTGCATACCCAGTCAGGTCCTCACAGCCAGGCCTGGCCTGGCTCACAATATTAGGAGATACTTGATAAATGGATGGATGGTTGCAAGGAGGGAAGGGTCAGAGGGTAGATTGGGGGTGGGACACCTGGGTCAGGAGACCAATCTGGGACCAGCAGCGCCCCCTTGTGGCATAATGCTGGTCTGTCTCTCCTTCCCTTAGGCTCCGTGGGAAAGAACAGGAGAGTTTTCAGAGCCCTTCCACTGGAAAGTGTGGAATGGAGGAGGAGGAAGAAGGCAAGGAAGAGGTGGAAGAGAAAGGGGAGGTGGGGAGCAGGAGGGATGGAGGGGAAGGAGGAGAGACGGAGGAGAGGCAGGGTGAGGAGTTGGAGGGTACACTGAGATCTCCAACAAACTCAGGCGGTCCCTTTCTGGCTGTTACCTGGGGAACGTTAATCACATCCGTAAACCTCAGCTTCCTCATCCAAAAAATGGGAAAATAAAAATGAGGCCTCTGAATAATGTAATGAAATAAATCAGAAAACGATATGTTTCTATCCCACGCTGGGAATCGTGGACAGGCGTTGGCCTCAAGGAGCCCAGCAAGGCTGGGAGGTGACAGTTTTCTGCGGGACACAGCAAAGGCAGAAAAAGGGATTGGAGTTTGAAGGTAGAGTTGTCACAGTTAGCAAAAACAAAAATAAAAAGGATCCCCAGCTCAATTTGCATTTCAGGTCAACAAGGAATAATTTTTGAATGTAAGTATATCCCAGATATCTCATGGGATATACTTATACCCACCAAATGTATTCCTGATTGACCCGAAAGTCAAATTGAAATGGGAACCTCTGTTTAGTCTGGCAGAGTTAGCCTTGGGGGAGACTGAGGAGGTAAGTTGGAAGACTTCCAGGAGGAGGTGGCAGTGGTGCGGAAAAGGAAGTGCTAAGGTCCCGTGGGGCGGTGCCCTTTCCTTCCCTTCCCCCACTATGTGCACATGCGCAGTGGCAAATGTCCTTGATTGCGCTCACAGGGAACTGGAGGTGAGGGTTGAGTGCCACATTAGGAAAGATGGTGAGCATGGCTGTTCTCCTTTTGTTGAAAAGATGTTGGGCGAAATCACCAGGACTTTATTTTGCTGATTGGAATTGCGTTACATCTCCTTAACCAGGAATATTTCGGCCACGTTGCAGCACTGAAGGCCATTCAGAAAGCTCAAGACTACCAGACATTTCTCCCCGTGACTTTGGAGCTGTGTGACCTTGGACAACTCACTTAACCTCTCTGAGCTCTATACATCCAAGAACTCACTCCACTCCAGCCACATTAACTTCCTGGCTGCATCTCCAACTTCCCAAGTATAGCCTGCCTCTGGGCCTTTGAACGTGCTGTTTCCCCAGATCTCTAAGTGACGCCCTCCTCTCCTCCCTCACTTTTGCATTCAGATGCCAATCTGGGAAGCCTCCCTTGACCGCCCCATTAAAAGTTACACCCCCCCGCCAAAATCACACCCCACATTTTGCATGCCAGTCTTTTGCTTTTCTCAGTGAGCTGACCCACGATGCGTTTCATTCATTTCTCTCCTTTATGGTCTGACTCTGCCATCGGCAGTGAGCGCCACAAGGCTGGGATCTCTTTGACCCGCGGCTGTGTTCCCAGCACCTAGCACAGCAATAAAAATTGCTGAATGAATGAGGAGGAAAATGAATGCATGAGTAGGAAAAAAGGCCAGCAGCAAATAGGAAACTTTGAACTGTTGTAGCTGATTGCTTCAGTCCTTTTGGTGCCTCAGACTCACCTGAGAATCTGAGCGGCTGCGTGTGGCTGCTTGGATGTGACCATTCAGGATGTGAATATTCAGTTTCTTGATGAGCAAAAGCCACGTGGGGCCCGTGGGCACCCTACTGAGCAGTGCGGGTGGGGGGGGTTCTGGAGCCTCCCCATCATGGCAGAAAGCTCGACTGTATGGTGCGACTGTAACCACTGTCCAAAAAATGCGCTCAGTCACAGACACCAGCTTTTCTTCCGTGTTCTTTCTGGAAGTTTCAGAGGCCCCGTCCCAACCCGCCCCACCTAATTTAGCAGAAGTGGCACACTGGTGGCTCCTGAGCTGAATATGGCCCCGGTTGGGTTTTATTTGGTCCAGTGGTTTTCTAAAAAGCAGGACACTTTCTTTAGTCTAGAATCCCGGCGGATGTGGGAATCTCTGGGTGGGTCTTCCACAGGGCAACACTCTGCCAGGCTGCCAACACTTTGGAGGAGGCATTTACTTCCTTTTGGCCTCCGGAGCGTCTGAGTTTGAGACTTCGTTTTATAGACCCAGAGGATAAAGGATGGGGGGGAGGGGTGGAATCCAAGCGGTTGCTGCTTCAGGAAGGGGTTGATCCAGGAGTCAGAGATCCAGGAGTTGATCCCAGCACTGCCCTAGGCTGACCGGCTCTGGGCCTCAGTTTCCCCATCTGTAAAATGGGGATGACAAAGGAACAGTTTTGGGAGGATTAAACGGTGCCACGCAGGTCAGGGCGGGAATAAGGCACTCTGTATCTGTTATCTGCTGCGGCGAAGGCTGCTCATACTGCTGGGTCGAGCTCTGCTCCATCACCTTCCCGCCCAGGGTTGGGTGGTGGCTCCTCACGCGCAGCGGGGCAAAGATCTCTCACCGCCTCTGGAGAAAAGGGGGGCTGGGGGACCCCAGAACTAGGATAGCACCTCCCTGGGCCGAGTTCATAGGACCCCTAGGTCGGGAGGGGGCGCCCTTGGCTGGATCAGGCGTCTTATAGGGGTCCCCCGGCGCGGGATACCGCGCGGCCCGCAAACGCCACCTGCAAAAGTCTGGCCCTTCCCGGACTTCACTTCTGTCTCCAACGTCCCAGACCTAGAGGGGGCGTGGCCCGGCGGAGGGCAGCCTCCCAATACGATTGGTCCTCCGCCCCGTCCTTCCCGAGCGCCCGCCCCCCTGAGTATAAAAGCCTCCTCTGGGCCGGCCCCAGACGGTTTCAGAGCTGCCCGTCGAACTGAGTTCGTCTCGGTGACCGCGGTAAGAGGAGGGGGCCTGATTGCGGTGGGGGGCGAGGTCCGCCGGGCCCCGGGGCGTCCCAGAGGAGGAAGACGGAGGGGAGACTCTTCCTGGGGGCTCTGCGGTCTGGGGAGGGGTCTCCAGCCTGGGTTGAGCTTTCCCGTCTCTTCCCCTACCGCCCCCTCCAAAACAAAACAAAACAAAACAAAACAAAAAAGACCTATTTCTGGAGCAGAGTCAAACTTCCAAACTTTCTCGTTCAGTTCCTGAGACATTCGTTGGAGGCGGGGGGGGGGCGCGTGAAAGAGCTCCCCCCAAAAGTGGCAGTATGAAGAGGGGGGTAAACCCTCCTCCTAAAACACAGCCTCCCTGAAAAGTCGGCTTGCTTTGCTAACGCAGTTTGGAGGCGAGCCACAGCCTGTCTTGCACAGGAAATCGGCCCTCCTGGATCCTCCGGGCGCCCCTCCCCCCAATCAGGGGGCTCTCTGCCTAGCAAGGACCCCTCCTCGGCAAATGGATTTGCCGCCCGGGGGGCTTAGCTCCCCCCCCCCCACCCCGAGTTTGTGGTGGGCTCGGCTGACTCTGGGGAGGTCGCAGGCAGACCCCGCCCTCTTCCTTTAGGTGGGTGTGGCCAGGGGGATTGCTCCAGGCGGCTGGGAAGGCCTGCTGCCCCTTATCTGAGTCCTTGGGACCTTTGTCAGCATTGCTGGAATTGCCGGACCTGGGACCTTGGTCTCTGGGAACTTGGGAAGTTGAATCCTGGCTGCCGCTGGGCGTCTGCGTGAGTACAGCCGGTTCCAGCTAGCTCTCGCTGTGGCAGCTGGAGCCAAGTTCAGGCAGCTCGCAGACCCCAAGGACTTTAATGGGATGCTGACATCTGTAGTGGCCGCCCTTGGCTAAACCCGCTCTAGGAGGGATTGATGGGCCAAGGGGATGGGAGAATGGGCCTCCAAGATGCCCAGGGAGGGGTGAGGGGAATAACCAGACTCCTGAAGATAACCAGGGGCTGCTGTGCCGACTTGCCCCACTTCCCAGCTTCGGCAACTCAGTACCAAGCAGAAGCTCATTGTGGCTTCACCTGTGTGTAAAATGGTTCTGTTTATTGAACACCTACTATGTGCTAGGTACTGAGCTAAGCGCAACGTGTTGCTCTGCTAGTCTGTAGGGACTCTGAGCTAGGAATACATATCCCCATTTTTACAGATGGGGCAAGCAAGGCTCTGAGAGTGGGTGCTGCTTTCCCGAGCTCCGGCTGCCTACTGAGTTGCAAAGTTGGGATTAGAACCCGTTTGGACTCCAGCACTGGTGCTCTCAAAACCTCAGTTTGCTGGGCTTTGTGAGACAGGGCAACATGGCAGCCAGGAGGATGGGCCCCCTTCCTCTAGAAGGAAATGTTCAGAGTCAAGGTCAGGGGTTCACAACAGGCTCATCCCTGAATTACGGGAGGAACCAGCCCTGAAGGCACGTTCTACCTTTAGCTCCTTTGTGCAGGTGAGAGGACTGAGGCCAGGGAAGGGGAGGCTCCTTGCTCAACAGGGTACACCACGGGCAGAGCTGGGACTCCTGCGGTCTGTAGTCTGATGAGGGTTTACCCGTGTCCTCCCACCTGGCCAGGAAAGTGGGACACACCTGTGGTGTTTCCTTTCGTACCTTGCAAACGAGAGCATGCACCTCTCCTGGGAGCCTCCCTTGTCCTGCCCTCCTGCCTGAGTCTCACTTGATAGGTCTGCCGTAAGGTTTTCTTAAGCAGTTTGTGGGGTGTTTGGTTTTTAATGCTTAACCTTTTTTTTAAAACCCGGTAATTTTATCTGCCTGGTTCAAAAGTCAGAGGCTTTGTCCTGTCCACCTGATCTGCCCTTTCTGCCCCGAAAGGTGGCTACTGTTAACAGTTGCCTATGTCTAAAGATCCTGTGCAAACAAAGCACGTGTTTCTGCCCTGTACGCGGTATTCGTCTCAGAGTATCCCGGTCCAGCCAGTGACGTGTTGGTCTCTACCCCGTGGCCACTGCACTGGGCTGGATCCTTGTTTTCTCTAGGCCCCTTCTGCCGGGGAACCAGGTTCTTTCCATGCTCTGGTTGTGGCCGACACAGGGGCCCACGCCTCTGCCCACATGACAATACAAGTGTGGGATCATCCCCTCAAGGTTTCCGGGTCATGGGGACGATGGCTCTTGAGAGCAGGTAGCCACTGGCAAATGGCTGTCTGTGGAGGTGTTGGGCCACAGGTGTCTCCCCGAAGTACTGACCATGTGAAGCCCTTGGAGTTGACCCTGGAGGTGTGGCTCTGAAATCTGCTTCATCAGCAGCACCTGAGGGCTGGTTAGGGCCCCAGACTCCCTGCCCCACCTGGCCCCACATGGGGGCCCACAGGTGCTCAAGAATGTTTGGGGGGGGCCAGGCTCTGTGAAATAGGGGAGGGGTCAGATGTCAGCTGTGAACTTGCACTTCCTCCTGGAGGGAGGGATGGTACCCTCACAGCCCACCTGTCCACCCCAGGGCCTGCTTCACAGAACCATGTCTACTAACGGGACAGAAGCCACCGCCAGCACCCAGGCGACAGGAGCAGAACCGGTCCAGCAGGTGAGGGAGGGCAGGGACCCGTGGGGTGAGGCTTCCCACACCAGAGTGGCAGGGAGCTGCTGGCAGCATGTGGGGGGGGGGTGGTGGGCAACAGATCTCTTTCTGTGGCTGAGTGCGAGCCGTCATGCAGACCCCGGACAGATGGGGGCAGGGACAGAACCGGGAATCCCGAAGGCTCCGGGGGAGATTTGGGGTCTGCTCGGAAACCACCGCCTCCCACCCCACTGCTGTCCCGTCTGCAGGTGCTTGGAGGGTCATTCTAGGAAATCAGCCCCCATTTCCTCCCCCCTTCACAGCTTCCAAACAACTATATATAATTCATAAATAACACTACGAACATGTCATTTGCATATGATAAATGACATGACCTTGGGAAGGGTGCTGCCCCGTGGTTTTTAGTCAACTACCAAGTTCTGTGGCCATCAGCTCCAAACACTGTTAGGACTTTCCTCCCTCCAAAGAGACCCCGCCCCATCAGTACTCCCTCCCCCTTCCTCCTCCTCCCCACCAATGCGCATCTGCTGTCTGGCTCCATGGGTTTGCCTGTTCTGGACATTTCGAATGGAATCCAGCCAGCTGAGACCCCTTTGTGCCTGGCTTCTCTCAGTGAGCGTGTTTTGGGGGTTTATCTGCCTTGTAGCGGGTGTCAGTGCTTCATTCCTTTCTTAAAATTGTGGTAAAATAACACATAACCAAAAAAAAAAAAAGCCCCCCCCCCCCTTTTTTTTTTTTTTTAAGATTTACATATTTGACAGATCACAAGTAGGCAGAGCAGCACGGGGGGTGGGAAGCAGGCTCCCTGCTGAGCAGAGAGCCCAATTCGGGGCTTGATCCCATGACCCTGGGATCATGACCGAGCTCCCCAGGCGCCCTGTTTTTAGCCCTTTTGTCTGTATACACAGAAGTGGACTTGAAGGCTCGTAGGGTCATTTCTGTTTGTGATGCTTTCTGGTTTCCACAGTGGCCGTGCCGGTTCTCGTTCCCTCCCACAAGGCCCTAGAGCTCCAGTTTCTCCCCGTCCTCACCGTCATTTGTTAATTTGCTTCATTTTGATAGTAGCCATCTAGCGGGCGTCAGGTCGTGTCTCCTTGTGGTTTTGGCCTTTCTTTACTGATCACTTTCACCCCCCTGTTGACCATTTGGAGGCTGTGACGTTTTTCTTTCTTTCTTTTTTTTTAATGTTTTGTTTATTTATTTGACAGAGATCACAAGTAGGCAGAGAGGCAGGCAGAGAAGCAGGCTCCCTGCCTAGTGGAGAGCCCGATGTGGGGCTCGATCCCAGGACCCCGGGATCATGACCTGAGTTGAAGCCAGACGCTTAGTGACTGAGCCACGCAGGTGCCCTGAGGCTATGGATTTTTAAAAACATACTTTGTACCACCTGTTCTCTAATCCCCTCACCCAGCGATGAACATCTGGGCTGTCTCCACCTCTTGGCCACTCAGAACGAGGCTGCGGGAACATTCGTGTGCGCCTTTTATGTGGACATGTGTTTCCTGTCCCGGGTTAGAAGCCTGAAAGTGGGGTTGCTGGATTGGAGGGGAGACTTGGGACTAACTCCTGTGAGGCCTCGGGGGTAAACCCTGCAGACAGCTGGCCTGAGTCCATCTAAAGTTTGCAACTGTAGGTGACTTACTCTTTCTGTGCCTCAGTTAACCCTTCCATAAAATGGGTAAACACTCCCTATCTCCAGGGCCTGCTGATTGAGTGAGGTCACACACAGGCTGTCCACACATCCCCTCTGAGTTTGGGCTTCTGCCAGCGCCTTCCCATGAGTGATTTCTGCGACTCCTGCTGGACAGGCATGATTCCCCATGTGATGGGTGGGGAAACTGAGCCTCAGGACACCTGTCTTGACTCTTCCGCTCTTAAAGCGTAAATGAATGGGAGTGGCTGTGTGGCGTTAAAGCTTTATTTGCAGAACCAGCTAGCAATGGAATATTAGCCCCATAAAGGAATAAAGCACTGACCTCTTCCACGATGTGGAGGGACCCCGGGGACTCCGAGCTCAGTGAGAGGAGCCAGACCTAGAAGGACACATCCTGCAGGAGCCCACTCCCAGGAGGTCCCCAGAGGAGTCCCGTTCACACAGACAGGAGATAGTGGGAGCCAAGGCTGGTGTAGGGGTCGGAGAATTCATGCTTCATGGGGACAGAGTCTCAGATTGGGGAGATGAAAAGTTCTGGAGATGGAAAGTGGGGGTTGCTGCAGGACAGCGTGAGTGCTTCATGCCACTGAGCTCTGCACTTGAAATGGTTAAGATAAGTTTTATATGTATTTTACCACAATTTAAAAAATTAAACACTGATAGGCGCTGGCCTGGGCATGGACCCTGAGCCCACGAGGCTCAGGGAGGGAACTAGACACAGAAGGCCACACGGGGTGTGAGTCCATGTGTGTCATGCCCAGAACAGGTTCTTCCACAGACAGGAAGGGGGCTAGGGGAGGGGAGAACGAGGAGTGACCATTTTCTTGGAGTGATGGCAAAGTTCTAGAGTTAGCCACAGCCATTGTACAACCTAATGAAAATACTAAAGACCTTGGAATCGTGCGTTATCAAATGGTGGCATTAATGATCTGTGAACTCGATTCAGCTGTTAGGAAAAACCGGACAAGGATAAGATCAGGTGTGGGCCCCGTGGACTGTAGCTTGCCGACCCAGGGGTAGACCCGAAGCTCCGTGAGAGCCGGGCTCTTGTCTCCTCGCAGCACGCGGTGTGGGGGGGTCAAGTACACGTTCAGGCAGAGGAGAGGCAAGGCTAGGGTAGAGGAAGCGCCCATGGGGCAACCTCGAAGCAGTGGCTTGTGCAACCACCTGGATGCAGGGCAAGCCTGAGCTGAGCCCAGGCGGGATGGGAGTGAAATCGACATTGGCGCCCCACCCCCACCCTGCCCGGAGCCCCAGGCCCAGCCCGCTGAGCTGCTTGTCCCCGCAGCCCAGCGTGGTGGACCGCGTGACCACCATGCCCCTCATCAGCTCCACCTGCAACATGGTGTCCGCCGCCTACACCTCCACCAAGGAGAGCCACCCCCACGTCAAGACCGTGTGCGACGCGGCCGAGAGGGGCGTGAAGACCCTCACCGCGGCTGCCGTCAGTGGGGCCCAGCCCATCCTCTCCAGGCTGGAGCCACAGAGTGAGTGAAGCCCCAGGGAGCCTGGGACCCACCTCTTGGCTGTTCGAAGGGGGCGGGGGGTGTGTGTCTGACCCATCCCTGGCCCTGTTCCCCCAAAGCAGCACGCGCCGGCCTTCCGGGCCCTGACGGGCACGCACATGCAGTGACTGCCAATTCCTGTCTTGTCCCGTGTAGTCGCATCGGCCAGTGAATACGCCCACAGGGGTCTGGACAAGCTGGAGGAGAACCTGCCCATCCTGCAGCAGCACACAGAGAAGGTAACTGAGCTCTGCCATCAGGAGCCGGTGGGGGATGGGGGCTCCGCGGGGCGTGGGAGGCCTCCTGGGCTCTGGGATCTGTGGTCCTGACCCCTCCTCTCATAGATTAGACGCATGTGACTGCTCCTCCCTGACCCTTCTTCGGTCTGTCCCCACCCCCACCTTGAATCTACTCCCCACTGGGCCGCTAGAGGAGTGATCGAAACCCCAGCCAGATCTGTTCAAAACCCCCGTGTGTCTGTCCCCTGTCCAGCCCCACCAGCCCCTGCACTCTGTTCAGGAACATTCATACCCGGGTGGACAGGACACATGTCTAGAAACAGTGCCTGCCTTGTGGAACTTTGATTCAGAGGAGGCCTGGGGAAGCAAATACAGTAAATGACTTCTGTCCCAGTCCTACCCCAGGCCCTTTGCATGTGCACTTCCTCCTTCATGAACCAGACTTTCAGGTCTTTGTTCAAATCCTACCTCTTCAGTGGGCTTCCCTTCCCTCGTAAAGAAGGTCCTTCTAGCTCAGCTCCGTTGAGAACTGTCTCTGATGTCCATGTTCTTTCTCTGCACCATCCAGTATGGAAACCACCAGGTATATGTGGCTACGGAGCACTCAGAGTGTGGCTGGTGTCACTGAGGAACTCAGTTGGCAATTTTAAATAGCGGCACGTGGCCCGTGGCCAGCATCTCTCTAGCATGCCACGGACAGCTTCCCTGAGCTGTGAGTCACATATCACACAATGAGCTCATTGAAAGTCTACAACTCAGTGGTTCTAGTATATTCATGTTGTGTAACCATCACCACCCATTTTAGAACATTTCGTCACCCCAAAGAAACCCCATATCCCTTAGCAGTTAATCTCCTTCGTGCCAAATGCTCCTGGCAACCGCCATCTCCTTCCCGTCCATGGAGGGGCCTCTTCTGGGCGTGTCACACGCGTGGACTCACACCCCTCCCTGAGCATTGTGGGCTCGGGGTCCGTCTCCAGGGGGAGTGCCTGTCCGCAGCCTAGTGACAGTCCTGTGCTTGGGGGACACGTTGGGTGTATCTGTTCATCTGCTTATGGGTGTTTACGTTGTCCCTACTTCGGGGCTGTTCGAATATTGCTGGAATTTGTGTACCTGTTACATTAATTCTCTTAGAACAGAAAATTTGTCGTCTTTAATCATCTCTAATTGCACAGCTCTGTGGCATGAAGCATGCTCACACTGTCCTGCAGCCACCCCCAACCTCCGTCTCCAGAACTTTCCATCTCCCCACTCGGAGACTCTGTCCCCATGAAGCACGGACTCCCCACCCTCTGCCCCAGTCCTGGCTCCCACCCTCTCCTCCCTGTCTCTGTGGACGGGACTCCTCTGGGGACCTCATGGGAGTGGGGCCCTGCGGGACGGGTCCTTCTGGATCTGGCTCTTCTTGCTGAGCCCGGTGTCCTTAGGGCCCCTCCACGTGGTGGCAGGTGGCAGGGTCCCTTCCTTTCTGAGGCTGAACAATATTCCAGAGTGTGGATGGACCTTGTTTTTATCCTCGCATCTGTCAGCGGATTGCTCCCACCCTGTGGGGTTTGTCAGTCGAGCTGCTCTGAACCGGGAGGCGGGTGGTGGTGTCCCAGTTGTATGGGCCTGTAGGGCTTCCCGCCATCCCAACGGCTTTTTAACTCTGTGTTTGTCCTCCTGAGTGGGGAAGGGCCAGGCTGCTTGGTTGCTCTGTCTGGTGCTCACCATCTAGCGTGGGGCACAGTAGATGCTTAATCTCCATGTTTGCCTCGTGGGACACAGGGCCGCGCTCTTCGTGTCCGGCTCTCTCCCACCAGAATTCAGTGGTGCGGCTGCTCTGGTTCTCCCGGGCTCTGCCCCCAGGGCCCCCCCACCCCGGATAGCGGGCGCCCCCGTCAGCCGGAGACTGCCCTATACCACGTCCCCCACAGGCCGACCCCACCTGCTCATGCAGGACTTGGTGCAGCTGGGACAAGTGTCTCCCAGCAAAGGCCGTGAAGAAGCTGGGTGGGCTCGGAAGGTAGAAACTGCCCAGTTCACAGAAGGCTGGAGAAGCTTCCCGGCAGAGCCAGCTCCTTGGGGCCAGGCGCTTGCAAGAATTTCTCCTGTCCTGTTGTTGCTGCCCCACGAGGCCAACATTCCTTCCGTTTATAGAAGTGGGGTGACGCTCTCCAAGGTCATCCAGCAGAGCTGCTCCCAGCTCCGAGGCGCCATGCTCTCTGGACTCCTGTGATGTCACCTCTGCCCCGGGGTCGCCCCAGGAGGAGGCCGTGCTCCCCGGTTCTGCCAGACGCATGGTGTGGTCAGCTGGGGGACAGCCCCAGTGGGCACCTTTTCCCACCCCAAGGAAATGAATTCCCGTGGACACGGGAGGTCTAGGTGTTCCGAGGGGAGGGGTGCCAGCTGCCCCCCGAGAAGGGTGGGAATGGGGGTGGTGGTGTGGTTTGGGGCTTTGCGGAGAGCTGTCCGCCTGGCAGTCTGCTCAGAGGCGTAGACTGGAGCCTCACGTGCACGTCCACGAACACCCACTGTGCGCGGCAGCCTCTTCCGCGACCCCAGGGCTATTCTCGGGCGGCAGGTCCGGCCCTGCACCTGCTGTGCTAAGTACAGTTTTCGTCGCATGTGGACACACCCAGCGTTTCCGACATCCAGGGCGGCTTTTACTCCACAAGAGGCAGAGTTAAGTCGTTGACACGGAGATGGCCAGCCTGCCCAGCTAAACTCTCTACCACGTGGCCCACCTCCAGAGAAAGTTACCAACCCGTGACTACCCTGCTGCTAACCCAGGTTAGGGGCGGTGGAGTCAAAGTACCAGGTTAACATCCAGGTTCTGCCCTTGGGCCTGGACATCCCTTGCCGAGATAGGCTGCTTAGCCTCCCAGCCTCAGTTTCTTATCCGAGGAATGGGTACGCGCCTTCCTTTTAGGGCTCTATAGAGCAGAAGCGGGTTCGTCCTCTGAAGGCTCAGAGCAGCGCCGGTCTCCTACGGAGTGTTGGTTTTTACCGTTTTAACGTAGCTTCAGGAATAAATCCACAAGCGTGGTGACCTTTCGGGGCACAGGGCCCCATTTGCCATGTGGAGTTGAAGGTGGTTACTGTGTTCTGCTGGGAGTTCACGGAGCCAAATTTTTAGACACCTGCATGCATCCTCCGTGTCGCTTTGCTTTTGCTCAGGGCGCCTCTGTCCTGGTCTCCCCTCTGGGCACCGCTGACTTGGGGCGGAGCAGCGTCCCTGGCCCCGTCCCCTCGACGGCAGGGGCTCCCCGCCCACCCCTTCGCCCCCGTGTGACAACCAGACATGTCCCCAGACGCTGCCCAGCATCCCCTGGGGACAGAATCACCCTAGATGAGAGCCACTGTCCTAAGGAAGTTGGCCCACAGATGGTCACTCCCGCCAGGATTATGGTTCTCAGTGCAGGATGGGGCGGTCACTTCCGGGGCTATCTTAGTCTCCTCTGTCCCCACGGATGGAGCCCTTGAGCACTGGTCTAACCCATCGTGCCCATCCTCAGAGCCGCTGACCCAGGAACTTCCTGTCCCCCCAGTCCCGGAGGCCAGAAGTCCCAGAAGGGTAGCTGCTTCCTCTGGAGGCCCCTGCTTCACTCCCAGACTCTGGCCTCGCCTGGCCTCCCCTCTGTGTCCTAGTCTCTTCTCTGAAGACCTTCTCTCCAGATAATCACATTCTGTGGTCCTGGGGATCAGGGCCCAATGCACAGTCCCCTGTAACACTGGGTAAAGAAATGGAAGCACAGAGAGGTGGAGTGAGTTGCCCGAGACCACACAGCTAGGACCTAACAAACCAGGATTCACCCCAGGCTCCAGAGCTCAAGGTCTTCACTGCTGGGTCGTGCGTTGACCCTTGGGAGTCACCCAGGAACTGGAACTCCTCCCTTTGGGGTCCTCGGAGGCTGGGGTGCAGGGGTGGGGACAGAGATGCTGACGCTGCCTCTGTTGTAGGTTCTAGCCGACACCAAGGAGCTCGTCTCGTCCAAGGTGTCGGGGGCCCGAGAAGCCGTGTCCAGCGCCAAGGACACAGTGGCCACGCGAGTGACGGGGGCGGTTGACGTGACCCGGGGTGCCGTGCAGACTGGTATGGATGCGACCAAGTCCGCGGTGACCAGCGGCGTCCAGTCGGTCATGGGCTCCCGTGTGGGCCAGATGGTGCTGAGCGGGGTGGACACGGTGCTGGGCAAGTCGGAGGAGTGGGTGGACAATCACCTGCCCATGACGGATGCTGAGCTGGGTGAGTGCCGCCCTCGTGCCCGGACGCCCCGGCCCCTGCCAGACCTCCCCACCCAGCCAGCTGGGGTCTGTCCCTAAGTGCCATCTCAACCCTGCCACCTCTCCCTCAGATTTGCTGTAGCCCCTTGTCAGTGCCCCCCAGACCAGTGAGTGCGGTGGCCTCCTCCCTGGCCCCCAATGTCTGTTCTCCTTGAAGCAACCACTAGAGGGCCCCCGTGAGCACCAGAGCCTGGTTCTGTCCTGCCCACAGCCCTTGGGGTCTCCCACATCCCGTTGGGTAGAAACCCAAGTCCTCCCCATGAACCCTCCATGCACTTATCTACCTCCCCTCCTTCATTCTACTCCAGCCACCCTGACTTCTTGCTGATCTTGACCGTGCTCCCACCCCAGGGCCTTTGCATCAGCTCTTCCCCTCTACTGGGAGCATTTCTCCCTAGACACCCTTCCACCTCCAGCTCTGCTCAGATGCCACCTCCCCAGAGAAGCTCGGATCGCCCCTTCCCTTGTCCAGACTGTGTGCTGAGGCCTGCCCCCGTCCCCTCCTGGCTGGGCTCTGTTGTTTCTCTCCGGCACTCATCATCAGTTCCACAAAGCAGCTGCGCACTGTCTTGGTTGCTGCTGTGTGCCGCGTCTAGAATGGGGCCTGGCCCTCAGCAGCATTCAGACTCTTCTCTGTCACCCCCCACCCCCGCCCCAGGCATGCATTTGTCCATTCGGATGTTCCTTGAGCATCGGCTGTGTGGCCAAGTCTTGGGGACACCACAGTGGACAGGATTCTGCCCTCGGGGAACTCACAGTATAAAATATAAGGAAATCAGGTTAAAGGAGAGATTTCGAGGGGAGAGGATTGGGTAGATGTTTCTGAGGAGGTAACACGACCACGAACGCAGCAAGCGAATGAGCTAGGTAGCTACGTGGATGTCAGGGTGGAGAGAAGTGGCAATACCAAGGTCCTGGGGCAGGACCTGCTTGGTGGGTTAGAGGAATAGCAAGGCAGAGTGGGCAGTGGGAGTTGGGGAGGGGGACAGGGCAGGTCGTGCACAGCCTAGGGGATCCAGGGGAGGACTTGGCTTTACCCCCAGGGAGGTGGGAGTCCTGGAGGGCTGTGGGCAGAGGCCCCAGGACCTGACTTGTGTGCACATGGGTGTCCTCTAGTGGCCACTGAGGGGAGGGCGGACTGGGGTTTGAGGGCAGGACTGGGACCGGGGTGGGGGGGACTGCGCTGGGCTCTTGCCGGTGTGGTGGGGACTGGTCCAGGTGGAGGCAGGAATAGATAGACAAACTGGGGACGAAACTGTTGAGACAAAGCAGTGTCCTGTGTGGCCCACCATTGGCTCTGGTACCCGTGGCTCTTGGGACTTTGGCCACGTTGCGGTGCAGACTCTGGTGTCCATAGCAGTAAGGGCCTGTGGGGCTGCGTGTGAACTAGACGCCACGCTCCATCTGACTGTGGCCAGAGTTGGTTGGTTTGGATAAGGAGCCAGACATTTGGAACAATTGGAAGGAGCTGCAGGACAGATCAGATTGGGGATTCCTGAGGGCAACACCGTGGGCATTTGGAGCTGGGTCATTCTTTGTGGGGGTGTCCCGGGTGCTGGGCGGGGGTGGAGCAGCGTCCCTGGCCCCACCCCCTTGATACCCTGAGCAACCCCAGGGTGACCAGGACAGGCATCCCCAGACACCGCCCTGCAACCCCTCCTGGGTGAAATGCTCTGCTTCCCCTGGAACTTTGCGCAGAGGGAATCGTGTGGTTCTATGGTGGGTGAGCACCTCCGCCTCCGTCTCGACTTCCTCGTTGGACTGGGATTGGGATCACAAGATGTCACTCCTCTAAGTGCCCCTTCTTTCTCCGGTAGCTGGAAAATGGTCTTGGAGGGAGTTCTCTGGGGAGGCTTGGATGAGCCCAAGTGCAAACTGTGGAGGAAAAGCGGGGCAGGTGGCTGGCTTCCCCCCTTTATCTTGTTATTTATTTATTTAAAGATTTTATTTATTTATTTGATAGAGAGCGAGAGAGGGAACACAAGCAGGGGGAGAGGGAGAAGGAGGCTCCCCGCCCAGCTGGGAGCCTGTCGTGGGGCTGGATCCCAGGACCCTGGGATTGTGATCTGAGCCGAAGGCAGGCACTTAAGGACTGAGCCACCTGGTGCCCCCCGCCCCCCGTCTGTTTATTTTGGCATCATGGGCTGGGGGCCAGCCTCACCCACTGTCAGTAGTGGGTGTTTATGTTATGGGTGTGGGTGCGAAGATTCACAGGACATATTCCAATCCTACACACTCACTTTATTGACCTTTCTCTTGTCCCGCTACTTTTGGCTGCTCAGAGACCCCCGTCGAGTTGGCTCTGAGTGTCCATGATTCTCCCTGGGAATCTTCCGGGGAGCGGGGTGGTCCTTTGCTCTCCAGAGAAACTTGTCTCAGGCGGGCTGGGGATCTAAAGCCCTGAAACGTGTGGCTTGAGCATGGCATGTCACTTGTCCTTTGAGAGTCCAGAACCCAAGCCTCTCGAAGGAAGGGCGCTGCTGGCCCGTGGTCGGTGCTGAAGCCAGGCAGAACCAGCTGTGGGTCTTGGCCCCTGAAGGCAGGGGAAGAAGGCAGGGTCTGCTGGGAGGAAGGTCCTGAGCCAGGCTGGGGAGCCACTGCAGAGAACAGATCCTTCTGACCACCCTGCTTCTGTATTGGTTCCTTATTTCCGCGGGGTGAGGGTGAAACCATCGTACATAGGGGTGCTTGTGGTTTTGGGGAGTGGGGGGTGTCTAGTGTGGGGAACATATGAGCTTCATTCTTTTTAAATGTCATCGTGAAATGATTCTTCCATGGCGTCCTCTTTCCCAGCCGACTGACTGGTCAGACTACCTCCATGGCACATCTGGCCCACCACTTGCTTTGTAAGTAAAGTTTTATTGGCACACGGCCATGCGCATTTGCATGCATGTGGTCTGTGAGTGTTTTTGCATTGAGGTGCGGTATAACTATCTGCAAAGACCAAAATGCAGACTGTCTGGCTGCATACAGAAAAAGTTCAGTGACCCCTGGGTTATGTTCTGGAAGTATGTTCTTCTGGGATTTGTAATGTTCATAGAAACAACTGAAATCCCCGGATTGAAGGCTTACCTTGATTGAGCAACAGGTCAGTGACTGCCTGTGGGATTTCGTTCCTTGATTTTCCTGGCTTTTGTTTCTGGAACAGTGGCTGGCCAAAAGAGATGCAGAACTAGGACTAGGTGGCTACGTGGAGAGCTCACTTCCCAGAAGAGCCAGGCTCTTCCTGCCTGACGGGGGGCACATCTGTGGTACCCTGGTCCCATGTTCCTTAGTATGTATTTGATAGACTTTTAAAAATCGGCTTTTCCAGATTCTTTCAGAAAGGAAATTTTAGCACTTACGGAAAACAGGACGCCGTACCATCTGCTATAAATTGATCACAAAAACACCTTATGTTCATTTGGGTTCCTTTTCTCAGTATGAGGTCCAGATGTCACAGTTCAGACAGCTCTGACTCTGGTGGTCATAGGGAAGGGGGGGAACTGAGGCTTATTGGCAAAATCACTTCGGTGTAGAGCAGGGAGTGGCAGATGTTTTCTTAAGCAGTTGGTAAATATTTTTGGCTTTGGGGGACACTCAGTTTCTGTTGCAACTAGTTAAGTCGGCTGTTAACACAGAAGCACAGAGGAGAGGTAAATGAATGGGTGTGATTGTGTGCCAATAAAACTTTATTTATAGAGACAGGTGGCATTTGGCCTGGGGGCCGCAGTCTGCAGACCCCTGCTCTAGGGCGTTAGTCAGGAGGTGTGGAGTCAAATCCTTATCAGGTTATTTACAAAACTCAAACTTATACCTATTCTGTTAAAGTTTAAAAGGAGCAGATCCGCTAGGATAAAATCAGAATGGGCAGTTTCTTTCCATCCTGCCCTGTTGGAATGACACGGGCTCTCTTTGGACTAGATAGTCCTTCCTTTACCTGCTGTTAAGACAGTTCTCATGTGGCTCAGACCTGCCCCCGGCAAGTATTAGGGTGAATAACATGGTGTCAGAAGGCCTGGCTTCAAATCCTGACTTGCCACTGCCTGGCTGCGGGACCTTGGGCAGTCACTTCCCCTGCAAGTCCCTGTTTCCTCGTCTGTAAAAACGGGGTAACAGTGCCTCCCTTATGGAGTTGTTGAGGTTTAAAGAGAACAGTGGAGGAAGCACCTAGAACCTTGTGAAAGGTTGGCCATGTAATAGGTGCGGGGTGCTAATACAGGACTGGCCAGCTTTTTTCTGCACAGGAGCAAATAGTGAATATTTCGGTGTCCACAGGCCAAGAGGCCACAAACTCCACCACTATAGTTTGAAAGCAGGTGTAGACGTATATAACTGACCTGCAGAGCTGTGCCCCAGCTTGGTGCAAAACTGGAGGCTGGGCAGATGTGGCCTGAGGGCTTTGGTTTGCAGACTCACACGCTTAATCCTGGCCACGGCGGTTCCCAGCATACCCATTTCGCAGATGGGGAAAACCAAGGCCAGGGACTCCGGTGCAAGGCTTCCCAGCTTTCGAGCGGCAGCCCTGGGACGGAGGACCCTCAGCAGCGTGTGGGCAAGCCTGCGTGGGGCACGAACCCATGTGTGCACCCCGCCTCGGCGCGGTGTCCGCCCCCACCGCCACCCGCGAGCCGGAGCTGCGCGCGCTGCCGCCGCCGCCTCCACCTCCCGGCCTTGACGCCGTCTCTCGTGCTTCCTCCCCGCAGCCCGCCTCGCCACGTCCCTGGAGGGCTTCGACATCGCGTCGGTGCAGCAGCAGCGGCAGGAGCAGAGCTACTTCGTGCGCCTGGGCTCCCTGTCCGAGCGGCTGCGCCAGCGGGCCTACGCGCACTCGCTGGGCAAACTGCAGCTCACGCGCCAGCGGGCGCAGGAGGCGCTGGTGCAGCTGGCGCAGGCGCTCAGCCTGGTGAGCCCCCCACCCCCACCCCTGTGCATCTCCGCCTGGGCGGGACCGCACACCTGGACCGCTTGGGGCGGGGGGGCGACAGAGCCTGTCTGCCAGCTCGCCGGGTGGGGCGTCAGGGCCCCAGCATAGGAATTGGGGGGATGCAGTTCAGCCCACGACCACGGGACTGGCCGGCAGAGGCCCTCCCAGCTGTGGTCCGAGGGACCGGCGTGCAGCAAGAGCATGAACCCCTGAGCGTGAGATGCGTTTTGGTGGCGGTTCTGTTTAAAGCCCCCAAATCGCCCGTTTTTTAAGCGTAGGGTTTGGGGAGTTTTACAAATAGAAACAGACACGTAACCAGCACCGCAGTCCAGATGTGGGATGGATGCCATCACCCGGGAAGCTTCTCTCCGCTGTCACATCCTGCCCCTGCCCAGAGTTCTCTGTCTCTTCTGGAAGGAGCTGAGTTCCTGCCGCCTGCCTCTTCGCTTAGCCTCCTCCGCTCAGCGCTCGCCCCTCTCTCTGTCGTTTCTCATTGGGGGTAAACTACACACAGCGAGAAATGTACCATCGTAAGCATTTCCAGCGCACAGCTCGGTGTGGCATGAAGCGCACACACTGTCATGCAACCATCCTCACCATCCGTTTCCAGAACATTCCATCTCCCTACACGGAGACTCTGTCCCCACGAAGCACGGACTCCCCACCCCTTGACCCAGCCCCCGGCTCCCACCCTCTCCTCTGTCTGTGCGGATGGGACTCTTCTGGGGACCTCCTGGGAGTGGGGTCCTGCGGGACGGGTCCTTCTGGGTCTGGCTGCTCTCGCTGAGCCCCGTGTCCTCCGGGTCCCTCCACATTGTGGTGGTAGGGGTGAGGGCCCCTTCTTTTTTAGGGCTGAAGAACATTGCACTGGAGCACTTTTAAGGTCCTGCCTATGTATGTTCTTCCTGCTTACATTCTGTTGGCCAGAGCCAGTCCTGTGGCCCAGGCAGGCACAAGGATTCCGTCGGGTTCTCCTTGTGCCAGACAGACTGGTAGGAGCTGCAGAGAATTTTGGCCACTTCTTGCACGCACGATGGTGATGAAACCATAGCTGTGCAAAGCCTCTGTGAACAGCATCCCTCCCGCCTTCCTCGCCTTCGCGCACCAGCTCATCTTGGATAGGAGGAGGGTGCTGTGGGCTGCTCCTGGGACGTGCACGGGCTCTACCGGCCCTGGTCAGGCGCCGGAGGCAGCCGCTCTCCTCCTGTGTCCGGCTCTCACTCCTTCTCTCTCTCCTTGTTCTCCTGTCCCAGATGGAAAACGTCAAGCAAGGAGTCGATCAGAAACTGGTGGAGGGCCAGGAGAAACTACACCAGATGTGGCTCAACTGGAACCAGAAGGAGCTCCAGGGCACGGAGGCGAACCCGGCCAAACTAGAGGTACCAGCTTGGGGGACACATGGGATGCTTACAGCCCTGACTTCCCCTCCATGCCCCTGCTGGATGGACTTACTGTGTGGAATACTCCTCAGCCGCTCCTCCCATTCACTGCCTTCAGGACACACCAGCACCTCCTCCAGGAAGCCCACCTAGATTTCCTCTCTTGGGTGTGGGTGTTGCTTCTGAACTGTGGTACACTTGACAGTGACGCCTTTCAACCTGCCAAAATTCTAAGCCACATCTCTTTCACCTTCTCCCCTATCCCGGTGTACTGAGCCCTCCCTACTCCCCTGCCTGGCTCCTTGTGACGACTTCTCACTAACGTCCTCTGGTCCATCCCATCGTCCCAGGCATTGGCCTCTCCTGCCGCGCTCTGACTTTCACCGCCTCTGCCGTCACTCGTGGAGACTTGCCTTGAGTCAATACCTTATGTGACTCTCGCGCGCCATTATGAATGTCCCTCGGTCTCAGGGTTCGGGCGGGGGAGGGGCTACCTGCTCCGTGGGGATGAGGTTTCTTTGCGGGGAGTGATGGAATGTTCTGGAGGCGGAGGTGGTGGTTTGCACAACCTTGCAAATATACGAGAAACTATGGAATCGCACACTTAAAAGGGCGAATTCTCTCACGGTTACACTCCTGTGTGAAAAAGTTGAGTTCCTCTGTCACGTACACACAGCGTTACACATCGAGGTACACACAGGTAGCACCAATATTGGTGCACACGGTTAACCTTCAGACCCAAACCGCCCCCAAACCGTCTCCCTCCCCCCCCAACTGCAGATATTGACTCTGCTCAGCTCCCCCCCGCCCCGTTCCAAGTCCAGAGCGCTCTGTCACGTGTGCGGGCAACGTCCTGCCGCCCAGCCTGCCCTCTTCCCTTATGGGGGAGGGAGGTTAAGGTCCCGATTTGCACGTGGACACTGCGGTCCTTCCCGCCACGTACGACTTCTGCCTGGAAGGTTCTCCCAGACCTCTTTTTTAAAAACAACAACAAAAAACAAAAACTTTAAAAGTGGAGATTGAAAGTGCAGTGTCTTGTACTTAAGAAAAAAAGTTTTACTGAGATACAATTCACAGACTCGAAAGTCCCCCGTCTGTACAATTCAGTGTTTTTTTTTTTTTTAATATTTTATTTGTTTGACAGAGATCACAAGCAGGCAGAGAGGCAGGCAGAGAGAGAGGGGGAAGTAGGCTCCCTGCAGAGCAGAGAGCCCGATGCGGGGCTTGATCCCGGGGCCCTGGAATCATGACTTGATCCGAAGGCAGAGGCTTTACCCACTGAGCCACCCAGGCGCCCCAATTCAGTGGTTTTTAGTGTATTTGCACAGTTGTGAGACCATCCCCGTGACCCATTTGGAGCATTCCCGCCAACCCGAAAGGAGATCTTGTCCCCATCTGTAGTCACTTTCCCCTCCCTGGCCCCTGGCCCCATGAGCCCCCTTCCTGTCCATGGAGGAGCCTGCTCTGGGCGTGTCACACCCGTGGACTCACTCCCCATGTGGCCTTCTGTGTCTGGTTCCCTCCCTACACATCGTGGGCTCGGGGCAGCATGTATGGGCGCCTCGCTTGTGCCCGCAGCTGTTGGATGCGCCCGTGCATGGGTGGGTCATGTGTTTTCACCCGTTTACAAGGTGATGGACGTACGGGTGACCTCCACTTTGCCTCCTGTGGACAATGCCTTATGAACCAGCCTTGTATGACGTGCGTCTCTGATTTTCTTGGGTGGGGGATTCCTAGGAGGGGAGTTGCTGGACTATTGGCAACTCGGAGGTTGGACAGTTGGAAGGACCACCAGGCTGTCTTCCAAAGTGACTGCACCACGTCCGGGACCCCCGGGTCCTCCCCATCTTCGCCATTACCTGTCACTTCTTGATCCCGCTCATCCTCGAGGGCGCGAGGTGACGCCTCCTGGCGCGCCTGCCCCCGTTTCCCCGACGGCTGGCGGAGTTGAACCTGGCTGTGCTTGTGGGCTGCTGCTGACAGCGGACCTGTGGAAAGATGCCTCCACCTCTTTCCCACTTTGGTACATCGGTCGCGTGGTTCCAAACTCAGAAGAGCTGGTGTCCCAGACACCGCAGGGAAGGGCTCTCTGGGAGGTCGGCGGGAGAAGCCCCGGCTCCTCTCCCGGCACCGGCTTGGGCTCCAGCTGCCCCCAGCGCGCGGTCCTGATCCGCCGCCCCTTCTCAGCAGGTGGAGACGCGGACGCTCACCATGTTCCGAGACGTCACACAGCAGCTGCAGAGCACCTGCGCCTCGCTGGGCTCCAGCATCCAGGGGCTGCCCAGCCACGTGAAGGACCAGGTGCAGCAGGCCCGCCGCCACGTGGAGGACCTCCAGGCCACCTTCTCGGGCATCCATTCCTTCCAGGACCTTTCCAGTGCGATCCTGACGCAGAGCCGGGAGCAGGTGGCCAAGGCCCGAGAAGCCCTTGACCACATGGTTGAGTACGTGGCCCAGAACACTCCTGTCACGTGGCTGGTGGGACCCTTTGCCCCAGGTATCGTTGAGAAAGCCCCAGAAGAGAAGAAGTAGGACGGGTAGGAGGAGGCGGGAGGGACTTAGTCTCTCCCGGAGGGGCCGGCCGGAACCCTGCACCCCCCCCCCCCCCCCCCCCCCGCCCATCTCAGCTAACACCCTGGGAAATGGGAACTGACCCATCCTTCCCCCTCCCTGCGCTCAGAGGCAGCATGGCCTGATCCTCACCTCCTTGGTCATCGGGGAAGTTTCCAGAAAAAAAAAATGCTTTTTAGGAGGTCCTCAGTCTCCCTGGTTTCTTTTTTCTTAAACTGGGGACAGATTTCTTCTATCTCAGCCTCCTTTTCTAAATCACACCCCTGGATAGCAGCCTTTAACTAACAGGCTTGGGACTTCTGGCCTCCGAAGTGGGGGATGGGATGGAGGCAGAGCCGCTGTGGCCCGTCCTAGAGCAGATGGGGGCTGAGGTCGGCCTGACTGGCTGTAGGCGCCGGAGGCTTCAGCAATGTCTTAATAAATTTTACCTGCAGCTAAGTGTGGGCCGTGTGCACATGTGTGTGTGTATGTGCGCTCACTCACGCGTGTTCCCCCAAGAGCTGGGCAGTGCAAGGGTCTCTGTATGGCCTTCTTGGCCCCTTCCCTGCTCTTCTCACAAGCATGTGAACTGGACAGGGCCAGACCTGGGGCGGGGTTCCAGGGTTCATCTCCCCCATCCTGAGCCTTGCCCCTGTGCCGTGTCCTGGGGCATCTGGCAGAAGCAGAAGGCGGGCTACTTTTCCCAGACCTTCCTAGGTGTGGGGGGGAGGGGTGTGGTAAGTGGCCCCCCAAAGATGGCCACGTCCCAATCCCCAGGATCTGTGACTATGGTTCCTCAGGTGGTGGAGGGGACCGTGTAGATGGGATTCAGTGAGAGATCTGGAGATGGGGGCAGGATGGTCCTGATGATTGGGGTGGGGGGTCCTCCTGTCATCATTAGGTTCCTTATGAGCAGAAGGCTGGAGGGCGGGTCGGAGAGGGTGTGAGGACAGAGGCAGAGGTCAGGATTTGAGATGAGTGGGTGTTCTCTCCACCCTGAAGATAGGGGAAGGGATCTCGGGCCTGGAGAAATGGGAGAAGTCAGGGAAACGGGATCCCCCCCACCCTGAGCATCTAGAAGGATCCAGTCCTGCCAACACCTTGGTCTTAGCCCCATAAGGCTCATTTCAGACTTCTGATCTCCAGAACTGGGAGGTGAAGGTGTGTGGTGTTTTCAGCCTCTGAGTCAGCCTTCCTGCCCCTGGAGACTTGTCCTGGACCCAGGGAACTCTTGGTTGCCCCCGGACAGACCCCAGCTCGGAGATTTTCAGAAGTTCCGTCCCCTTCTGTGCCTGGCCGTGTGCCCACTGCCGTGCTCACATCTCCTTAGAAAACGCTGCAACCGAATCCTTTCGTTGTGCCCACTCTGGCCCAGGGCTTTCCCACTCATGTCACACACCAACCCTCTTAATCGCCTCTGCTCTGCGGGTTAGGTGTCCCAGCTTTACGGATGAAGGGCCGGGAGCACGCTGCCGGGCGGGGACTTGCGTCTCTCTCGGTGCGCCTCTGATGGCAGAGTCCTGCTCTTGTCCCTTGCACGCTCCCGAGGACGGGCGTCCTGTGCTCCAGCTTGGGATGGGGCATGGGCGTACCAGCCCGCTCCCTGGTCCCCTTGTGAGTGACCCTCTGGCCTTCAGGGTGATCATCTGAGGCCAGCTTCTCCCAGACCTGGAGCAAAGATTGTGGAGGACAGCGCATTTGAATAACCTGGTACTTAGGTTTTCTTAGGGTCTCCCCCTCAGCACTGGTGACATTGGGGCTGAGTTGCTTTTCTGGGGACCACCCTGGGCACCTTGCCCCAGACGCTTGATGTCAGGGGTACTCCCCCTCCCCCAAGTGGTGACCAGCACGGGTTTCCTCAGACATGGGCCCCTGGGGAGAACCAAGTCAGCTGGCTTCTCCCCCAACACTTCTTTTTTTGTCTTTTTTGCTTTAATGAGTCCCCGAGATTCCCCATACAGGTCCCCTAATCTGTCAGGGAGCAAATCTCTTTCTGCACAGTGCCAAGCCAGCATTGGGTATGGCTAGGAGCCGGGCGCTGCTCTGAGCCCCCGGCCGATGTCCCAGCCTCGTCTCAACCCTCTCACTGAGCTTCCCATTTTGTGGATGGGGAAACTGAGGCAGGTAGTAGTCCAATCGTTTCCTCGAAGTCTCCAGGTCAGTACGGGTCTGGCAGGTGGGTCTGGGCTCTTGTCTTCCTGTGTGCATCCCTGACTTGCTGGAGGAGCTCAGCAGATGGGCTGCCCCACCAGCCCCACTGCTCCTCCGTGGCTCCCTCCGCAAATGGTGTGTACTGGTTAGCTCTTGCTTTGTGACAAGTCAGCGCTAACTTCGTGGCTTTAAACACGTTCTCTCCCATTCTCTCACAAAGTCATCGTGATGTCGTTAGGGGACCGTTGCTTGTCATGGGTCGCATCTGTTATGTTGGTTCCCGTTCTGACAGATGAGAGACTGTAGGCTTTACTTTATGTTAAAAAAAAAAAAAAAAAAAGTAATGTCGATGGTCCTGGGATAAAATAAAGGGGGAGATGGGAGGGTCTCATCTTTTGCAAACTCTTGGGCTCTTGGTGTGTCAAATGTGGGGGACGTGGGTGGCCAGGTTGCCAGTGGGGAGGGCAGAGGGAGGGATGGCAGGTACAGGGGAAGGCAAGACAGGTCACCTGTACATTTGATCTTGACCTTGGCTTTTTCCTGGAGGTTGGGAATTCTCTGAGCAGCCTTGTGCTCTCCTTGGTCTCCCCCATTAGGAGCTGGACCCTCTGGGGTCTTAAATGCTCCTCTCGCCTGCTTAGCTCACTCCAGCAACTTGTCCAGAAAACACATATGAGAAGATCCCAGCCTGGCTTGGGGAGATCCTATAGAGCAGCGTATAATGTCATAGATTCTGTAAATTTCAGCTCTGCCCCTTTCCATGGGACTTGGCCTGGTCACCTCTCTGAGCCTCAGCAGAGTGGGTATGAAAAGCCTCTCCACGGTGCCTGGGTGGCTCAGTCGGTTAAGCATCTGCCTTCTGCTCGGGTTATGATCCCAGAGTCCCCGGATGGAGTCCTGCGTCAGGCTTCCCGCTCGCTTCTCCCTCTGCCCCTCACCCAACTCTCCTGCTCACTCACTCAATCTCAAATAAATAAATTAAAATCTTAAAAAAAAAAGCCTCTGCCTGGTGGATAGAAGGGGCTTGGCACAGTCCCTTTGTCACCTGGGACCCCCACGCTCACTGTTAATGCCTCGTGTGTGTTTGGACGTACATAAAGTAGATGGTGAAAAGAGTTGGCTGTATCCGCTTTTCCTGGATCTGAAGATTAAACATTGTGGGTGGAGGGTGGAAGTGGGTGAGGGGAATTGAAAGGTACAGATCCCAGATAGAAAAGAAACCAGTCCCGGGAATGTAACAACAGCGTTGTGACTGTAATCAACGTATCGTAAACTTCAAAGTTGCTAAGAGAGTAGACCTGAACCCTTCCCATCACAAGCGAAACAACTGGCTGGGACAGACACGTACTAGACTACTGGCCACTAGACTTATGGGCAACATAAACCCCTATCAAATCATTATATTCTCCACCTAAAAGGAATACTGTGCTCTCTTCCCAGTATATCTTAATTTAAAAAAAAAGGTTCAACATTTTGGGGCAATATGAGAATAAGTAGATGGAATCACAAATTCAAAATTAGGTATATACCAGAAAACCTGCCTCTCAAACTTGGTAGTGAATACTTTCTACGTGCAGTCGCTGTGCAAAATGATTTAGACCCGAAGCACAAATTCTCACAAGCCAAAGGGCTATTTGTTTGCTTGTGTGTTTGCCTGAACCGAGAGCTCAGAAAAGTTTACTTTTTCCTTTATTTAAGTAAGTAAGCTCTACCCCCAATAGGGGGCTTGAACTTGTAACTGCCAGATCAAGAGTCCTCTACTGAGCCTGCCAGGTGCCCCAGAAAAGTTTTCATTTTTTTTTTAAGATTTTATTTATTTATTTGAGAGAGAGATCACAAGTAGGCAGAGAGGCAGGCAGAGAAAGGGGGAAAGCAGGCTCCCTGCCCCATGCGGGGCTCGATCCCAGGACCTTGAGACCATGACCTGAGCCGAATGCAGAGGCTTGACCCACTGAGCCACCCAGGCGCCCCCCAAAGTTTTCATTTTTAAAGGGTGTTAAAGCAAACAAAAATATGCAACAAAGACTGCCCCCAAAGCCTAAAATACTACCTGACCCTTTACAGGGAAAGCTTGCCAGCCCCTGCTTGACCCCTTCCTGTCATGTCTCACTGCTCAGACAAGAATATTTTTCCCAGTACTTAAAAGCTGCAATGTGTTTCACGCTCGTGTTACTAGGGTTAAGGGTGTGGGCACACCTCCAGCAGAGGGTAACAGTGGCGGTTTGAGGGGGGCAGGAAAAAATGCTTGGTGCTGGGGCAGTGGGATGGACCAGTACAATGTCTCTCCCCGACCAAGACACAGGCGTGAGGAGGGGGATTGAGGGTCTCCCTCCAGCCCCACTAGAGAACTAAAATGACCCTCTACGCTTTCTCATCAGCAAAGTGAGATGCTGTCACCTTCTCCCAGGGCTCTGGGTTTGGACAAACGTTTAAAAACCTTTACTTAAAAAGCAACCTGGGAGAAACAAAAACCAAACAACCTGGGACACCTTCCTTGTTCTAGCACTCCTGTTCTGAGTTGATACCCAAGCTCGGTGTGGTCAGATGTCCACATAAAGGACCTCAAATGTTCACAGCCATTTTATTCTTAAGAGTCCCAAACTCAACTTTGTATCCAAAACAGAGTAGACGAATAAACTGGGAGAGACTCATGGTGGAATATTACGCAGCAAAGAACATGGATAAATTACCAATCTTCAAAATATGAAAATTAATAAAGACATGCTTACTGGCTCAGTCGGTGGGGCTGGGGTCTCTTTATCTTGGGGTCATGAGTTCAAGCCCCACACTGGGTGTGGAGTCTAAATAAATAAAATATTTTGTTTAAATCAAATATTTGCTTAAAAAGAAAAACCTTAAAAAATTAAGAGAAACCTCATCTAGAATGGAGTCAGAGGGGTGCCTG